GTGTAGTGGCGCATGCCTGTAATCCCAGCTTCTCGGGAGGCGGAGGCAGGAGAATCACTTGAACCTGGGAGGCAGAGGTTGCAGTGAGCTGAGATCCGGCCACTGCACTCCAGCCTGGGTGACAGAGCGAGACTCCGTCTCAAAAAAAAAAAAAAAAAGAAACAGGGTTTCACCATGTTGGCCAGGCTGGTCTTGAACTCCTGACCTCAGGTAATCCACCCACCTCAGCCTCTCAAACTGCTGGGATTATGGGCATGAGCCACCGTGCCTGGCCAACCTGTGTTTAAAAACTTGGGCATGTCATGGGAAATGACTAAATACGAAAGCTGAGAGAAGAATTAGTTATGAAAAATCATTTCTAGTCAGAGAAAAGAAACTTTTGAGAAAAGATTGTTCTTTAGAAAATTTGAATATTTCAAAAATGATTGCAGTTTTTTCAATGGCTTGTTACATTTATTGCACTTTAAATATGTTAATACTGTACTATATGCAAGCAAATGTATCTAGAGTACATAGACAAAATTTTTTTCACTGTCTTCAAGTAGTTTTTTTTTTTTAATCAGTTTTTTGTTGTTTTCATTGTTCTTCTTACCTTTAAGTGCTTGATTGTGGAAAATTTCAAATGTGTACCAATTAGAGAAAATGTATATGAATTTCCATGTATCCATAAATGATGTCCAGTATTTATCACCTCATGGTTAATCTTGTTTCATTTTTGATAAGCTTTTTATTGCTAACATATGTTCTATTTTCTTCCTGAGGGTAACAGCTTTTTATGCTATTAGCCTCTAGGGCGGCTTGGGGCTTCAGTTATTGGAATCGATCCTGTGGATGAGAACATTAAAACAGCACAGTGCCATAAATCATTTGATCCCGTCCTGGATAAGAGAATAGAGTACAGAGTGTGTTCCCTGGAAGAGATTGTGGAAGAGACTGCAGAAACATTTGATGCTGTGGTAGCTTCTGAAGTTGTAGAACATGTGATTGATCTAGAAACATTTTTACAGTGCTGCTGTCAAGTGTTAAAAGTAAGGCTTATGGAGTTTATGTCTTGGTTTCTTCTTCTGAGTGTGTGTATATGTATCTATAGCAATAAAATGGTCCATAATGCATTAGCAGTCCAGCAGGCAAGGTACAGTAGAGAAGAAACCAGGAAGCCTGGATAAGGGGACAGCATCTCTGCTGTAGATTTCGTCTACCCCCTCAGTTTTCCCTTACTACCAGGGTCTTCCTGTGTCCTGTTAGTATATTGGATGTCCAGGGATCTTGAAAAATGTTGGTGCTGGTTGGATATGGTGGCTTACGCCTGTAATCCCAGCACTTTGGGAGGCCAAGGTGGGCAGATCACTTGAGGCCAGGAGTTCGAGATTAGCCTGGGTAACATGGTGAAGCCCCGTCTCTACTAAAAATAGAAAAAGTTAGCTGGACATGTTGGTGCACACCTATAATCCCAGATACTGAGGAGGCTGAGGCACAAGAATCGCTTGAACCTAGGAGGTGGAGGTTGCAGTAAGACGAAATTGCGTCACTGCACTCCAGCCTGGGCAACAGAGTGAGACCCTGTCTCCAAAAAAAAAAAAAAAAGAAAAGAAAAATATTGGTGCTGAACACTGGAAAACCATACACTTATAGCAGTATTTTTCCATTGGTGTAGTCGGGGTTAAATACTTAATAGATATTGAATGACAATTATAAGACATTGATTTGAGGCCAGGCATAGTGGCTCACACCTGTAATCCCATCACTTTGGGAGGCGGAGGCGGGTGGATCACCTGAGGTCAGGAGTTCGAGACCAGCCTGACCAACATGAAGAAACCCTGTGTCTACTAAAAATACAAAATTAGCTGGGTGTAGTGGCGCATGCCTGTAATCCCAGCTTCTCGGGAGGCGGAGGCAGGAGAATCACTTGAACCTGGGAGGCAGAGGTTGCAGTGAGCTGAGATTGTGCCTGGGCAACAAGAGTGAAACTCTGTCTCAAAAAAAAAAAAAAAAAAAAATATTGATTTGGGTGAATACTTAAAAATCAATAAAAATAATTATTATCATAAGTTTAAATAACAAGTAATTCTGTACGGGGTAAATGCATAATAGTTTACAGCTTATAAAAGAATATTTCATAAATATGATCTTACTGGATCTTACCTATAACTAGGTGAGGAAGGAGAGGCAGGTATTGTTATCATATCCTTTCACCTACGAGGACTCAGGATTTGTGAGAAGTCAGAGGTCACTAGGCATGTAAGTGGGGCTTAAGGCCAGACCGTTTGACTCCAAGTTTGGTTCTCTTCACTACTTACTATGCTTATATAGTATAATTTGCGACAGACTTCGTTCTCTGAATGTGGTTCTAAGTTTTCTTTTAATAAATCCCCCTGAAGTATTATTATTATTACTATACTGACTCTGTTGTTCACATATTTAGGAGGTGACAACCTAAAGTCAAAAGCTAAAAGAATGAAATGCTTAGCTCTTATCGAAATAGAGCTTTTTTAAAAAAAAATGTTATTTTTAAGTAATTTTAAATTTATAGCAAAATTGCAAAGATAGTACATTGTGCCTTTCACCTGTCTTCCCCTTAGGTTAACATCTCACATCATAAGGGTAGGAAGTAGGATGAGTCAAGTGAGGCACCTGGGGCACGAAATTGCAGGAGACAGCCCCTCTCAGGTGCTGACCCTGCACTTGCACACCCTGAAAGGGGTTGCCTGTTTCAATTCTGTGCCCTAGAAACCTCACTTACCTCATTATAGTTCTAGCCCTATATATAACCCATGGTACCGTTCTCAAAACTAAGAAATTAACATCAGCATTGTACTTATTAACTGCACTACAGAGCTTGTTAAATTTTTTTTTTTTTTTTTTTTTTTTTTTTGCTAATATCAGTTTGCTGTTACAGGATCCAAACCAGATTCCTGCATGTATTTAGTTGTCATTTCTCCTTAGTCTTCTTCAATCCGTGACAGTTTCTTGGTGTTTCCTCTTTTTTCTTGACAAGGTCTTACTGTGTCACCCAGGCTAGAGTGTCCTGGCAACATCACTGCTCACTGCAGCCATTTCCTGGGCTCAAGCCATGCTCCCATCTCAGCCTTTCAAGTAGCTGGGACCACAGGTGCATGACACCATGTCCAGCTAATTTTAATTTTTAATTTTATATTTTACTTTTTTGTAGAGACAGGTTCTCCCTATGTTGCCCAGGCTGGTCTCAAAATCCTGGGCTCAAGGGATCCTGCTGCTTCAGCCTCCCAAAGTGCTAGGATTACAGGCATGAGCTACCGTGCCTCGCCCTTGTTTCCTCTTAAGTAGAGTTTTACTAGGCTTATCTCTTATTTTCCAAATAAAGCTTCTTAATTGATTGTTAGTTCTTGTTTTATATGTCAGTCAGTGTGTATGAATGGAGGTTCTTTGACACATATGAGGGATGCTGGCATTGTAGGGTTTAAAACTAATTTTTGCTTCAGTGTAAAACCTATGTTTTGAAAATGACTATTGCTTACCACCATCTCCTTAGAGCGTGAGTTTGTAGAACACAGATTAGATATTCATAAGTGACTTTTTTTTTTTTTTTCCAGAGACAGGGTCTTCCTCTGTCACCCAGGCTAGAGTGCAGTGGCACCATCATAGCTCACTATAACCTCAAACTCCTGGACTCAAGTGATCCTCCCGCCTCAGCCTCCCAAATAGCTATGTCTACAGGTGCTCAGCACCATACCTGACAGTTTTTTTAAATACATTTTTTGTAGAGATGGGGGTCTCGCTATGTTGACCAGGCTTGTCTTGAACTCCTGGTCTCAAGCTGTCCTCCTGCCTCAGCACTAGAATTATAGGCATGAGCCACCATGCCTGGCCTATAAGTGATTCTTAAGATATTTTAGAGTTTGAAGTCACAGTGAGCTATGATCATGCCACTAAAGGAAAAAAAAGATATTTTAGAATACTGGAGCTTTACAGAGGAAAGTTAAAATGTGTGATAATATAGTGTAGGATATGTTTGTTTTTAATTTAAAGGCATACTCCAGTATTTCATGGTCCCCTCTTGTCTTTTTTATTTTTGGCTTAGAGTGGTATCTAAGATATATTATCTCTTCCTCCCAACTCACCTTTCTTTCTGTCTTTCTTTCTATATGTCTATAGTAATGTAATTATTTTGGAGGGAATCTTTGACATTTTTTCCCCATCAGGCTAATGAGAATGTATAAAAGAGAGAGGGGACATTAATATCCTTGCCATTTGTGAGGCAACATAGGAAAAACCATAAATACATTTACTATAAAGTGGCAGACTGAGGCCAGGCGCAGTGGCTCACACCTGTAATCCCAGCACTTTGGGAGGCCGAGGCAGGTGGATCATGAGGGCAGGAGTTCGGGACCAGCCTGACCAGCCAAGATGATGAAACCCTGTCTCTACTAAAAATACAAACCTTAACTGGGCGTGGTGGCAGCCACCTGTAATCCCAGCTACTTGGGAGGCTGAGGCAGGAGAATCACTTGAACCCGGGAGGCGGAGGTGACAATAAGCTGAGATTGTGCCGCTGCACTCTACCCTTGGTGACAGAGCAAGACTCCGTCTCAAAAATAAAATAAAATGGCACACTGAATAGTCCTATAAGTCCTTTGCATTCATCTCAGTGCTTATGTTGTTCTCTTTATATAAATATATATCACTTCAACCTCCACCTCCTGTGTTCAAGTGATTCTCCTGCCTCAGCCTCCTGAGTAGCTGGGAATACAGGCACTTGCCACCATGCCCAGCTTATTTTTATATTTTTAGTAGAGATGGGGGTCTCACCATGTTGGCCAGGCTGGTTTCAAACTCCTGATCTCAAGTGATCTGCCCACCTTAGCCTCTCAAAGTGCTGGGAATGCAGGTGTAAGCCACCATGGCCAGCCACTCTTTATATTTTTTATAAAAATGAAATAAAAACAAAAATGTTCAAACCTAATCATTAATGTTTTAGTGAGAGAACACTTAATGGTAGTACTTCCCTGCACAAGATGTATAGCTCTGTGCTGTAACAAACAAGTTAAGACAGGCTCAGCCCTTACAATGAAAACTGTTTTGACATATGTTAGAATGTGAATGTGGACATGTAACAAGGAAGAGCAGCCTGATCTCATTTTTATTGTAAAGTGTTTGGTATGTACAAAAGAATATATAAATATAAATCATAATTATGTATGATCTTAAGAGTTGTAAGCACTGTTGTATATACTCACCAAGTACATCTAAAATGCCTTTTATAGTGAACTTCCCAAGAGAAGAAAAAATGCTATTTTGCTGAATTATATTTTATTCATACATATATATTTTAACAGCACTCAGATTATTTGGAAGAAAGGAGGAGGGAGGGGGAAACTTAGCTTTTACTTAACTGATACACTTAACCTTTTACATTTTACTTCTATATAATTTCATTTCTTTTAGCCCAGTGGTTCTTTATTCATTACTACAATCAACAAAACACAGCTTTCCTATGCCTTGGGAATTGTTTTTTCAGAGCAAATTGCAGGTATTGTACCAAAAGGTACTCATACATGGGAGAAGTTTGTTTCACCTGAAACACTAGAGAGCATTCTGGAATCAAGTAAGTATTAAGAGAATTTTTTCCAATTTTCCAGGCCTAACTGAACTTTTAATATGCCAGTAATTATTACACACTTAGCCTAGCACTTAATAAAATAGGCCACTATGTTTTTGGATGTTGGTTTTATCTTCTCAACTAGGTCATAAACTCGTTGAAGTTAGGATTAAGTAGTAGATACCACTTCTCTTTTACCTGTCACCCCCTAACCCAGGGCCAAGCGGATAACAGATGATCAATGAATACTTTTTGGCTATTTAGTTCTCACTTGTTTAAGAAAGAGACACAAATGTCTGTTATTTACACATTCTCGGTCTGCCCTATTGAGCCCTACTTGTATCAGCTTATCTTACATATTATTTTTCCTGATTCCACCACGGTTACATATATTTTGAACTTCAGTATCACTTTTTTATGTATTTTATATGACTTACAGCATGACTTCATGGTTATTTTGGAGGTTTTTTTTTTCATCCTTTTATAGCCCATAAGCTACTTGAAGGCAGGACTATGTCTCCTTTTTGTACTCTCTAAAATGCCTAGCTGTGCTTTACACAGAGTGAGCTCTCGATTTATATGATGAATTCCGGTCGAGTAATAGTGCTTGTCAGTTCATTTATTTGGCATTTGGTATTCCTACTGAGTACTTAGACTCCTATATTTCTTATTTTTTTTTTTTTCATGTAAGTCTATCAGTAAACTTGATTTTACTTGGAATACTATCAGTATATAGCGATGTAGTAAATTCTAAAGATTTCTGTGAGTAACTTTGTTGAAAATAAAGTAAGGCCACGTGCAGTGGCTCATGCCTGTAATCCTAGCATTTTGGGAGGCCGAGGCAGGCAGATTATTTGAGGTCAGGAGTTCGAGACCAGCCTGGCCAATGTGGCGAAACCCTGTCTCTACTAAAAATACGAAAAAATGGCCGGGCGCCGTGGCTCAAGCCTGTAATCCCAGCACTTTGGGAGGCCGAGATGGGTGGATCACGAGGTCAGGAGATCGAGACCATCCTGGCTAACACGGTGAAACCCCGTCTCCACTAAAAAAATACAAAAAACTAGCCGGGGGCGCCTGTAGTCCCAGCTACTCGGGAGGCTGAGGCAAGAGAATGGCGTAAACCTGGGAGGCGGAGCTTGTAGTGAGCTGAGATCCGGCCACTGCACTCCAGCCTGGGTGACAGAGCGAGACTCCGTCTCAAAAAAAGAAAGAAAGGAAGAAAATTAGCCAGGTGTGGTGGCGCATGCCTGTAATCCCAGCTACTTGAGAGTCTGAGGCAGGAGAATCACCAGAAATCAGGAGATGGAGGTTGCAGTGAGTTGAGATTGTGCCACTGCACTCCAGTCTGGGTGACAGAGTGAAACTCTGTCTCACACACACACAAAAAAAAGAAAGAAAATAAAGTAGGAAAAAAATGTTTTAAAGATGCGTTATGGGGACAATCTCCTATTGGCACATATTTTTTAATGACAGCTAACATTTATTGAGTACCTACCAAACTCCAAGCATTGTGCTAGTTTACACACATAGCTCATCTAATTCTAACAGTTCTGTGATACAAGTTCTGTACATGTAAGAAAACTGAGATTTAGAAAGTTAAGTGGCTTGCCCATGGTCACCATATAATAGATACCTGAGCTGGGATTTGAATCCAGGCAGACTGCTTTGGAATATGTGTCCTAATTGTGACTTACTGAAGTTCTGCACTAAATTGTGATTAGTGCTTAGTTACAAAATACATTTGCCAATTAAGTTAGGAATCCTTTTTCTTCTTCTTTTCCTATCCATTTAGTGTATTCTCAGCATTTTTAATGCAGAGAGTTGCATGAAACTCTTGGAAATTGGAAGGAAAATATTTATTAAATCTACTCTTTCTGATTTTTTTTTCAGATGGTCTGTCAGTTCAAACAGTGGTAGGAATGCTCTATAACCCCTTCTCAGGTTACTGGCATTGGAGTGAAAATACCAGCCTTAACTATGCAGCTCATGCTGTGAAATCCGGGGTCCAGGAACACCCAATGTCTGCTGAGTTTGCTTTCAAGGGAGAAACAGAAGAGCTCCAAGCTAATGCCTGCACCAATCCAGCTGTGCATGAAGAGCTGAAGAAATGAATTGTTTCTGAGGACTATAGTAATATGGCTTAGATATCTGATGTTTTCAAATATAAGAAATATGTAATTTATCCTTTGAGAGAGAATCATGAAGAAAAGAAGGTCAATAAAAAGGGCTAAAACCTTGATCAGAAGTTTTTGTTATTTCATCTAATAGCTACTTTCAAGGGATTCTAAGAATAAAAAGTTTTGTCAAGATACTATGTGATCGAGGAGTTTAAGTTCCTCAATCTTTGTTGTATAATTAGGGTATGCATATTCATTTCATCGTACAAAAAAAATTTTTTATATATATATATATGCTGTAATCTGTTTTTGTTTTGAGATAGGGTCTCACTCTATTGCCCAGGCTAGATTGTGGTGGCGTGATCATGGCTTACTGCAGCCTCAACTTCCAGGACTGAAGCAATCTTCACACGTCAGCCTTCTGAGTAGCTGGGACTACAGGCATGCACCACCATGCTTTGCTATTTTTTTATTTTTATTTTTATTTCTTTTGAGATGGAGTCTTGCTCTGTCACCCCCGAGCTGGAGCGCAGTGGTGCTACCTCATAGCTGGGCTCACTGAACCTCCGCCTCCCAAGTGCAAGCGATTCTCCCACCTTAGCCTCACAAGTAGCTGGGATTACAGGTACCCGCCACCACGCGCAGCTAATTTTTGTATTTTTAGTAGAGACAGGGTTTTGCCATGTTGGCCAGGCTGGTCTTAAACTCCTGACCTCAGGTGATCCATCCACCTCGGCCTCCCAAAGTGCTGGGATTACAGGCATGAGCCACCATGCCCGAGCCATAACTCATTTTTTTAATATACTTTAAGTTCTGGGGTACATGTGAAGAACATGCAGTTTTGTTACATAGGAATACATGTGCCATGGTGGTTTGCTGCACCCATTAAGCCGTCACTGCATTAGGTATTTCTCCTAATGCTATCCCTCCCCTAGCCCCCAACCCCCTGACAGGCCCCAGTGTGTGGTGTTCCCCTCCCTCTGTCCACGTGCCGTAACTAAATTTTTTAACTGAGTTTTTAAAAAATCCTTTCTACTTGAAAAAAGCACCATAAAACATTTAAGGAACTGTATACAGAAGTATGTCCAAATAACCTTAAATTCTTAAATTTAATATTTGAATCCAAATCCAGCACATATTTAGCAACTCATTTGCTTTCCAACAAAGTAAAATTTAAAGGAAAAAAGTACATATTTTATCTTCCCAAATATAAGTGATATGCAGTTAGTAGTGAATCATCTTGAAGCAGTTATTACTGAATCATCTTGAATTTCTAGTACTTAACAAGGTATATATTTAATAACTGTGAAAGTTAGGCATCTCTTTCTACAATAAATGAGTTTTGTTTTGGGGACTGCTTTCGAAGCAATTCCATTACATATTTCTTAGATTAATGTTTAATACCAATACTACTACTTCCAACAGATAGAGTGAGGAGGCTTAATTTACTAAGGAAGCCACTAGAAAACAGACTAAGAATCAAACTTCTAGATGAAGTCCAATGGAAACTCCTCATTTTTAGTCCCCTAATTAGTCACTGGCAACTGAAGTTAACATTTTTCTTTTAATTCTTGAAATTTCACTTTCTTCCCCTAAAATGCCACTGGAAAAAAAAAAATAAGCTAAGATAGTTGGGAAATGTTTGCCCAAGGAACCTAAACCAACAGACATTGACAAAGGAATATAGAAAACCTATGAACTGAAAAGTGGAAAAGGCAAAAAGTAAAAGCTGACCTCTACATGGGCCACACACTGCCCCATCTGTGTTGTCACATTTGGCCAACACGTTCTGTGTATGTCCTTATGCAGCATCCAGATTTTCAGAAAAAGCCAGAGACTTGCGTACTTCAAGAGGCATAAAAATATATTTCAAAGTAGTCCTTTTCATTATAAAAATGTTAGCTGAAAAAGGAAGCTTCCATAACTAAATTTTTGTTGTTGTTTGGGACAGAAACTCACTCTGTCGCCCAGGCTGGAGTGCAATGGCATGATCTCGGCTCACTGTAACCTCTGTTAATTCCTATGGAATTAATAAATGAAAATATATCTTGCCCCTGTGTATAATCTAATTTGATCTTGCAGGCCAATTTCAATAATATTCCAGAAGAAATAGACTTTTTTTTTTTTTTTTTTTTTGAGACGGAGTCTCGCTCTGTCACCCAGGCTAGAGTGCAGTGGCCGGATCTCAGCTCACTGCAAGCTCCGCCTCCTGGGTTTACGCCATTCTCCTGCCTCAGCCTCCCGAGCAGCTGGGACTACAGGCGCCCGCCACCTCGCCTGGCTAGTTTTTTTTTTTGTATTTTTAGTAGAGATGGGGTGTTAGCCAGGATGGTCTCGATCTCCTGACCTCGTGATCCGCCCATCTCGGCCTCCCAAAGTGCTGGGATTACAGGCTTGAGCCACCGTGCCCGGCCAGAAATAGACTTTTAAAAGACATTACAATTTCTTAAATGTGTATTTGTAAAGTGAGGATTACTCAGCTGAAAAGTTCTAATTTTGAGAACCACCTATTTTTGAAAACCAAGAATGTAGCAATTAGGGTTATAGTAGGAACTTTAATATGCAAAACTTCCCTTAGGAACCCTGGGGCATAAGAGTCCCTGCAAGAACTAATGATGGAAACTTTAGGGCTGATAGTCCAGCAAAAGAGACTGTAGATCTGTCTTAGGAAGAAAAAGAACAAGGCTGGAGAAAGCAGGAAGGTGAATTTGTTTGGGATTTTGGTTTAGGGTCAGAGGAACAGCTGTGGGAAGCTGAGAGATGATCTGAATGAATATTCATACCCTACTTATAAAAGTAGATGACTCATGTAGTCCTCATGAAGGCAGTCAGATTGCTCAGTGGGGCTACTAATTATAAAAACTCCTAGACCATTTAAGGTTGGCTCCCAGAGCTATGAGCACTAGGAAAGCAAAACTTTCAGCACTTGGAAGTAGTAATAAATGATGGTAGGAAGAGTCACAAGAGAGAAGTCAAGTGGTGTAGCTTTTTTGAAAACATCCATAAGGAACCATAGGAGCCAGCACCCAGCATACACACAAAACACCTGTAGAACCTAGAGGAGCCTTCTGGCAAGATTCCAGAAACTAGCAACAGTAATGAATAAAATCAATAAAACATCATGTGCCTATTCTACATATTTCCTCATAGCAAAACATGACAACAAAAATCTTTTACATCTTTCAGGAGGCACTAGAATTGTCAGCATCGATTCCTCAAACTATGCCTGAGTGTTCTCAAATGAAAATGTCAGTGTTACTACAACTGTAAGCTTAGAAAACTTCCTATTTTTGATGATAATGTCAGGATTTAGAAGTCAGGAGCATCCTTTACATAGTCAGGAGCATCATTTACACAATCTCTATGTAAACAAATCTTCCTCAAATCATCTATTTTGAGCATGCCATCTCTTTCCTGTTGGAAACCTCACAGATATACTGACCCCATGCCCCAACCTCTTCTTCAGTGGTTTCTCATTGCTCCTAAGATATAAGGCCGAAATCCTTTAACGTGGCTACCAAGTGCCTTCATGGTGTAGCCCTACCTACTTCTCAAGACTGCTTTTTGACAAGCTTGCTGTATTTGAATGACAGAACAGTTCATTACAAGTCTTTTGCATTATTTTATTTTATTTTTTGAGATTCAGTCTCACTCCATTGTCCAGGCTGGAGATCAGTGGTGTGATCTTGCTAACAGCAACCTCTGCCTCTCGGGTTCAAGCAGTTCTCCTGCCTCAGCCTCCCGAGTAGCTGGGACTATAGCTGGGACTACAGGCTAAATGCCCAGCTAATTTTTTTGTATTTTTCGTAGAGATGGGGTTTCACCATGTTGGCCAGGCTGGTCTCGAACTCCTGACCTCAAGAGATCCACTTGTCTTGGCCTCCCAAAGTGCTGGGATTACAGTCATGAGCCACCGCACCTGGCCTTTTGCATTATTTTAAACTTTACATTTTAAAATAATTTAAAAATAATTTCAGACTTAGAATAAAAGATAACAAAAGTGATACAAAGAGTTCCCATATATCCTTTACTCAGCTTCTCCAAATGTTAACTATTTTAACCACATTATAATTATAAACACCAGGAAATTAAATTTGATACAGTACTGTTATCTAATCTAAAAACCTTATTTATATTGTATTAATTGTGCCACTAGTTGGGTTCTTTTTTTCCTTTTGAAACAGATCCCACATTGCATTAAATTGTCATGTCTTCTTAGTTTCCTTTAATTTGGGATGGTTCCTCCATCCTTCTTTAACATTCATGACTTTGACACTTGAAGAGCACTGGAGAGTTATTTAGAATGAACCTTAACTTGAACTTTTCTGAATTTTCTTTGTGACTAAATTCTGATAATGCGTTTTTGGAAAGAATACCACAGACATGATACAGTGCTCTCCTCCACCTCAGTGCATCCTATCAGGAGACACATAATGTCAATTTGTCTTGTTACTTGTGATGTTAACTTTCATCACTTGACTAAGGTGGTGTCTACCAGGTTCCTTCACGGTAAGGTTAGTATTTTTCCCTTTGAAAAACAGAATATTTTGCTGAGTATCTTGTAGCAAGATAACCCTAGAAATATATAAATACTCTGTTTTTCATCATATTTTACCCATTAGCTGTATCATCCATTGATGCTTCTTGCTTGGAACTATTATGCCTTTGGTGTTTGTCTCTTTCTACACTTATTAATGGAATTCTTCTGAAAGGAAGAGCTGTCCCTTTTCCTCCATTTACTTATTTATTTATTTACATCCATATAGACTCATGGATATTTATTATTATTGATGGGTTATTATCATTCATTACCATTTCATGAAATGATTATTCATTATTACTTTTTTCAACTTGTCCCAGATTTGGCCATTGGAACTGCTCCTGTGTCCTTTCATGTCCCCATAAGTTTTTTTTTTTTTTTTTTGGAGACAGAGTCCCACTCTGTCGCCCAAACTGGAGTGCAGTGGCACGATCTCGGCTCACTGCAACCTCCACCTCCCGGGTTCAAGTGATTCTCCTGCCTCAGCCTCCCGTGTAGCTGGGATTTTTTTTTATTTTTATTTTTAGTAGAGCCAGGGTTTCGCCATGTTGGCCATCTGTCACCCAGGCTGGAGTGCAACGGCGTGATCTCAGCTCACTGCAGCCTCCGCTTCCCAGGTTCAAGCTATTCTCCTGCCTCAGCCTCCCGACTAGC